GTCTAACTACACTTGACTTCATTAACCTGACATGACGGCTGTATCATAGCAGTACATACGTAATATTTGTAAAGTTTGATAGCCAGCGCTGCAACTACAATTGACGTTTTACGAACTATACTTTCTATTTTAAAATTAGTTTCGAAACCTGGCGTGGCTCTGTGCTAGAATACTTAATCACAATGTGGAAGGCTGGAGTTTGATTCCGGCTGGGACCCGGACATTTATTCCTCTAGTTGGTGAGGTCAGCACTGTGGACGTCATTTTTTTATAATGCATTGAAAGCACACTTCTCTGTTCTTGCCGTTCCTAAAGAGATAAGAATTGTCAATCACCTGTGGCACATACTCGCCCGCGGATATGTGCCACACGTCTGGCGGAAAGAGTTTGACGGCGTCGGAGACGAGATTGTGACATTAATCATGCCATGACTAGCGAGTCGCATTCATTAAAACATCTTACTCTCCCAATATAATTCTGGATACTTGTGGCCGATACCCACATGTGGAAATATGCCACAAGTATGCGGGTGTGTGCCACTGGAAATCGACAGCTTTCATCTACTCAGGAACGCCAAAAACAAACATGAGTAATTTTAAGGCGTAAGCGTTAAGAAAACATATTGGCCTCGTATCTGCATGTTACACCGCGAATTTCGTCGAAAGACGATAGTCTTGCATCTGGAGAGAGTGAATAAAACGTTTATTTATGTTCTGCGCAAGAAACGAATGATAATCTGGAGGCACTGCGTTAGAGTGCCTCGAGCGTGCAGCGGAGGTGAACGAGCGCATGAAGTCACGTCACGCGCGAAAAACGAGCGCTATCTGGCAGTTATCCTGGAAAACGGGGCGTGCGCCATGCGCGCCAGTGTCTGAGGTGATAAGGTGTAGAAGGCAAGGCGAAGGGGGCAGGTGCCACCACCGTGTCGTCTTAGCAAAGCGTTGAAAACACTTGCCGTTTCGTGGAAGCGGTGCAGGGTCAGCGCAGCGTTATAAAGGCTGCAATCCTTAAAATTACTTATGTATGCCTTTTCTAGTAAAAAATACACGTACATAATATTGACGTGTTAATGTTATGGTGCCTCAGATATGCGCAATTATTGCTTTTTAATATACAATCGCACAAGCATGAGCACTCAACCTTGCGCAATATTGGTGGCACTCCGAATGGGGTCGGCCATTTGTAATATCGTTTGGTCACTTTAGTGCCGTTTAGGGTACCGTTGAGGGTGGACAAACTGACAAATATACAGACAGACAGACAGACAGACAGACAGACAGACAGACAGACAGACAGACAGACAGACAGACAGACAGACCAAAATATTTGCGTCCAAGGTCCCCACAAGAAAACTATCGTCTTTAAAAAGCTGACGTGAGTGGCGTTTAACTGACGAACGCATAGTATAAATGCCAGGGTCCCAGCAGGAATCGAATCCTAGCATTCTGCGTGGCAGTCTAGTATTCTACTACAGAGCAACGCCAGGTTTCAAAACTATCTATCTATCTATCTATCTATCTATCTATCTATCTATCTATCTATCTATCTATCTATCTATCTATCTATCTATCTATCTATCTATCTATCTATCTATCTATCTATCTATCTGTCTGTCTGTCTGTCTGTCTGTCTGTCTGTCTGTCTGTCTGTCTGTCTGTCTGTCTGTCTGTCTGTCTGTCTGTCTGTCTGTCTATCTATCTATCTATCTATCTATCTATCTATCTATCTATCTATCTATCTATCTATCTGTCTGTCTGTCTGTCTGTCTGTCTGTCTGTCTGTCTGTCTGTCTGTCTGTCTGTCTGTCTGTCTGTCTGTCTATCTATCTATCTGTCTGTCTGTCTGTCTGTCTGTCTGTCTGTCTGTCTGTCTGTCTGTCTGTCTGTCTGTCTGTCTGTCTGTCTATCTGTCTATCTATCTATCTGTCTGTCTGTCTGTCTGTCTATCTGTCTGTCTGTCTGTCTGTCTGTCTGTCTATCTATCTATCTATCTATCTATCTATCTATCTATCTATCTATCTATCTATCTATCTATCTATCCGCATACGACTTTTAGCTCTCCTTGCCCTTTCGATAATGGTATCTATACTAATTTTGGTATGGCATGGCATGACTGTATGACGAGTATAAGTGACTAGTCAAAACATGAAAATCATGACATATAGGTCATGAATGTCACGATTTACATTTCATGGTCCTGCAGCTCTTGTGGTGGTTTTGTTCACATGCCATGTTGCAAAACCTGTATGGTATTGCGTGATTGCATCGCGAACACAAGCGACAGACTCTAACATGAAAACATGACATGCGTGTCATGTAACAACATGACTACATGCCACGCTTATGATGCGCTCACGGCCCTTTCGTTAGAGTCACATATACCAAATTTCGTATTACTTTACGTGAATGAATGACGAAGGTATGTGACTGGTGCAAACATGATAATCATGAGATGCGTGTCGTGTGAGAAGATGACTACGTGCCACAGTCAAGGCACCGATACATTTTGACTTGACGTGTTGCGCGCGCTCGCCGGCGTTCATTTCGTCGCGTCACGCCGGCGTTACCACGCCAGGCACCGGTCATGCAATGTTCTCGCAGGCGCGCGCCGTGCTGCGTTGCTTTGACGCATGCGCGTTTCAGCGCGTCCGGCGCCCCTCCATCAAGAAAAGAGCGAGACGCAGTGTTGCCTGGGTAACGCATTGGCGCGAAGTGCAGCAGCGCCGGTTGCTGTCATGCCGCGTCGACGGATGCTATACCCGGCGACAACTTTCTGTGGCAGCACGGCCAAGGCTACGTGGGCGGAGCCTATGCACATGTGCTACTGCGCCAAGTAGTCCGACCGCTTCGACGGGTGTTTCGGTTTCGATTTCACCAGCGCATACTTTATCCTTTGTGTGTCCGGCGTTGACCCAGGTTTCGTCAAGGTAGTATATGGGTCTGGAAGAATAAACAACAAAAACGAAGCATGTCATCTGCAGCGAAGCGCGGCGAATGCAGCGAAACTTGGCTCGTGTCACAATTATTAAAAATTGCTCGCGTTTCGGCTCGCGTTTCGCTGCAGGTTTCGCTGCTCGTGTTTCGCTGCTTTTTCTTACTTGCGCGTAAACGTTGTACGCCACCTTCTTGGCCTGTACGGACAGCTTTTGATTTGACAACGCCTGGTACGGCTGCGCAGCTGGTGGACTCGCGGCACGCGGCGGTGTTTCCTCCGTAAGCGACGTTGACGAGCTGTAACCGGCGGACGCCATCTTTGACAGTGAGGAATGCGGTGAGGTAAAAAGGCGACGGAAGCCAAAAAACCCCCAAAAAACTTGAGAGAGCGTGAAACGAAATTTTTTCTACTGCGCAACGTTTTTATTCACTAAATAAAAAATAAATCCGCGAAAAATGTAAGTGACGAATGGTAAAATCTTAGTTACCCAGAACAGTATACAAACGTTTTCGTTGAGGGACTACATGCTGTGGCGCAGTAAGACAAGCGTGCTTCGGCTCCGTAGCCTTGGCTGTGCTGCCACAGAAAGTTGTCGCCGGGTATAGTCGCACCTGGCGTCAGACTATAGAGAGCTCGCGTTTGGCTAACGTAGCGTCGCTGGGCCCAGCGTGCGCGCCCGTCAACGTTACATTGGAGTATATTGGGCCCTTCATGATGCGCTTGCGGCTGTTTTTCTAGCTCCACATATACCAAATGTGGTGTTACGTGACGTAAATAGATGACGAAGGTAAACGACTCATCCAAAGATGATAATTGTGACACGGAAGTCATGTTACGGCATCATTCACCTCCACTTCGTAACGTTGTGCTGATTTTAAAGTGGCGTATCAACATTTATCATTGGTGCTTCGCATATCATCTATTCCCACTGTACGTGGGATCCGTCAACTTTTTTCAAGTAGAACCTAACATCCATGAGAAGTGAATTATGGTTGGAGTGCTAGCTATCTAATTTAATTAAGGTATGTATATATATCTTTGATATAGCCGTCGAGTTGGGCTAACGTCAGTTGTATATGGGCACCATCTGCTGAAGTTAATTTATGTAGCAGTGTCCATGGCTACCATCCTCGTGAGCACCAGCGCTTCATATCAGTTTACCGCTTCGGGTGTTGCTAATATCCATGCTGTTATTGGCATAGTAACGCAACTGTAAACAACTGGTTACATAAATCATACGTAGCTGTTTCATGTAAGTGGGTGCATTTGTACATATCTTAAGCGACCCTTTGTAATGCTTTGATCGATAGAAAAATTGCAACTCACTAACCTTCCCTCCACCTGCTTTGATAATGTCGACATCCGAGGTACGTGAGATCTGCTGAACTTTTTAGCTAAACAGGTGGGCTGAAAATGGGCGGCTGCCTATTAGATATAGATAAAAATGAGATATTTTTTCTAAAGAACAATAACTGTAGTTACCCTACAAACTGCCACCACTGTTCGAGACTAATAATAAATATAACAAAATAAACTTCAGAGAGGCAAATGAGTAAATTATCAACAAACTTTAGTATTTTTTCTTGGCGCTGTGGCAGGCACGCCTTGTGTTGTGTAGGTTCCACAGTACTGCTAGGAATTCCATCAGCGAGTGTAAAAAAGATGTGCTCAACGCTACAAGACAGACATCGTAGCAGTAGGCCTCCTTAAAATTTGAAAAGGTACGCTAAATAATGTGTTCAACTTAAGTAATGCTTTTTATTTACTTTAAGAAGAAAAATGTCAACGCTTCTTGTGCAACTCAGACCCTGCTTCGATGGTGACCGTGTGCCACACAGTCACCCCTGAAGAAGGGTCCAAGTTGGACCCTTGAAATGTTGAATTTTGTCACTTTAAAGTCAATATAAGTTATCACTTTTGTTAAAGAGATTCATTGGTGTCTCTTTTTCGATGTAGTTTGCTTCCTAACTAGACAGAAATCAGTCAATTGCTAACTTTGAAATCAGTATACTTTTTTTTTTTTTGGTGGAGTGAGAAACACCATCTTGCGTGAGCCAACCACTTACATTCTCCAGCGCCGTGGCAGTGTCGCAGCTCCGGACGTGGACTGCATCTCTCGGCGGCCTCTGACCCGACCCTGAGACGAAGAACTGCCCCTCATCTTGACCTCCTGCACGGCGGCGCTGGGGAACATCCCTTGACGGCCGTCCCGCGTCCGACCTTCTAGCATGCCCGTGTCACTCACCTCGGTGACTGAAAAAAGGCGTGCACGTAATACTGGACATCTTTATGCAAAACTCGTAGCGTTTTCACTAACGTAAAAGCTGTAGGAATCGCGCAACAGTGATTCGCCCAGCCTTTTTCGACGCTGGTGTACACGCGCGCAAACCTGCACTGGAATTCCAAGCGTGCAGCCTGTCCGGCGTCTATGAGGTTAAAGCAAACTTTCACTTCTGATGCAGTGCTTCTCTCTACCATCCTTTTTGCCTTCACAGCCCTTGTCAGTATCATTCGCCTTTTCCACTTGCCTTGAATATTACACACGGCTGTTCTATCCTATACCCTCACCCTACACCTCCCTATTGCCTTACTGCTCACCATCGCTTCTCTTTCCAAGTCTTGCTAGCTGTACACTACACACGGCTATGCCGATTTACCCTCTTCCCATCTCCATGCCCTTCACTCCACCTTCACAGAGCTTTCCTGCCTCCTTGTTTTCTTATACTTATAAAAAGCTGTGCTATCGGGATTTCGCCTGTCATGACACCAAGTGGTCAGAGGAAACAACATGAGACGACAGCTCAGGCACCCTAAAGCCATCCAAGCTTTAGGAGAGGCTCTGCAAAAGTAAGCAAATTGAATAGCAAACGAAGACTTAGGCCAAAGAGTTTCAATCGCTTCTGCAGACACCAGGTGACCTGGTTATAAGCGTTCCGTAGCAACACTCATAAGCAACTGTCGCCGCTCCTTTCTTTCCTCCAAGCGTGTCCGAGCGCATTTTCCACCAGAATCTCTGATGTTCCCACGGCGACGCACTACCAGAGATTACAGAGACGTGACGATGTAAATTGTGTCCCATCTGTCAGTATATAAAGCTTTGCTAATATCGAAAGCACCATTATGGTTGAGAAAAACCGTTGACCAAGAAACTTGATATTGAAAATATTTCGCAAAATGCAGGTGGCAACACCTCTTTGACCACCCCCCCCCACAACTTGCCAAGGCTTCCTGTATTTTGAAAGCGAGTGCTATCGTGTCAAAGGATTACATACAAGTGAACTGATTGCACTGAGCTCTACCACAGCCAGATACGAGAAGCAAGTTTTGCCAAATTTATTTGAGTCAATATGTCCGAAGTACAAAACAGCACTTCAAAACTCACGACAACACGAGGACATTCAAGTGCTGCATTTTTTACGTGACTTTGAAAGATTAAACAATTCTGGCCTTCATGTTTTCTTTGGGGGGGGGGGGGCAGCTGACGTACAGTGGCGTAATTAACGAGAATGGTACTTTCAAAAAGTAATTATTACCATTCATTGACTGAATGCTTCATTTGGGTGTCCCTTCAAAAAACAGTGGTGTAAGCAAGAGCTCATGAGTAACGATATCCACAGTCTTACGGGGAAAACTACGATATGATTTAGAGGCAGCCGGCAGTGCAGGGCCACTGAAATTGTTAACATGCGATGTTCTTTAAAGGAGCACTCAAGGGCAAAACGATTTTATTGCGTTGTAGTAATGTACAAATACACAATCCCGAAAACACCCCTGTTACCACGATACGACGCTTGGTAAGCGAAACAACGCGCGAAAATAAAAACGGGTAGGGACGCCACTTTGAGACTACTGCATGCCCTAAACACCATGACGTTTTAAATATTAAGGGTGTTCACTGGGTCTCACGTAGCTTCCAATCAATAAAAATGAAGTACACTGCCATCTGCAGGTGCCATAGACCAAGCATATGATGTTTCAGAAAATTTCTTAGAGCCTAGGGCAATGTCAAGAAATTACAAAATTTTGAAAATTTCGGCCTCAGGCGCCAAGGTTTCGGTACGAAATTTAAAAAATGAAACTTCAAACCTTGATTTCTTTTCGCTAAAGCCAACTTATGAGAAACATATGGCATTGGCGTCCTCAGAGTGCACTTTTTCCATATGAATTAAGACATTACTCTTTAGTGTCTCTTTAAACGTCCACTGACATTCGCAAAGTACACGAGCATCTCGTTTTTCGCCACCATTGAAATGAGAGCACGTGACCGGGATCAAGCTTGCCATCTCCGGGGCAGGCAAGCAGCAAAAAAAAAAATACTGTACCCCACAGATAGACAGCGCCAATGTAACTCACCTTGAACAATGTCACCGCAGTTAAGGGAGAGGTGGCCCTGGAGTGGACTCTGGTACTCTGTGACGCAGACGCACGTCGTTCCGGCCGTAATCACGTCGGGCGTGTCCGAACTGTCCGTGCTGGAGTCACAGCTGTGCGCGCTGTTGCTCGTACAGACACCCGATGATTCACTTGTGGCACTCTTGTCTGCGAGCGGCAGTGCGACCAGCGACCGCGACACTATCAACACTGGTGGTGAGGTTACTTCACTGCGGGCAGTAAGTGGCTGTACTGGCCCTTTTTTAGCATAGCTAGACCACTTTTTGAGCATGCTCAGTTAACGTGCCGACCGGTAGTGAAGGCTCCAAGGAACACGCAAACCAAATATCATAGCACAGCACGTGGCCTGGAATTCACAATAAATTATCAAAGTCGGACAAAACTTGGTTTCTCTTATTTCGACAATTGACGGAAGGAGCTTAAAAATCACTCATAGAAGGCCATCTATAAGTCATTGGCTGACCTAAATATGACACGCTTGGTCATTACAGGGATCACACTGAAAAAGCCACGTATTCGAAGACAAAAAAGAAGTGGTCAAGGTCACAAGGCGCACGTGACGTATTTCCTTTACCCCTGCTATCCCTCTCTATTTAGCTTCCAGCGCTTTCGTCAGGACGAGAAAACAGGGAATCAATGCGATTTCAGTGCGCAACAAATCTCTGTAACTCCACTCGTATTAGAGGAATTCCTAAAAATTTTTTGGCGTTGAAATTGTGAAGCAATGAGCTTTTTTACTTAATCAATTCCATGGTTACCCGAAAAAGGGTTTCAGGACCCCTTTAAAAGGCAAGAAACTGTGGTATACACATTTAAATATAGACTACATTCGATGCTATTCCCAACAACAGTATACCTTCCTGGGAACTGTGCATCGGAGAAGCACATCTTTTGTAAGCACACCTAGACAAATTTACGAACCAATCGACTGGTTCGCTGATAGATTGGGTGAAAACACTTCAAAGCACAACAATTATACGAAGTGAAAAGTTACGGTGCAGAGTTCTCAACTAGAAATTATGGCATCTACACACCAGTGGTGCTAAGCCTAAAAAACAAGCAAGGCTGGGTGACCATCATCTTTTATATTTTTTTATTTGTATCTTCCCTTTGTATCTTTTACCTCACTTTATTGTATCTCTTTTTGCACCTATTGTTCTCACTTTGCTTCTGCCTGTGTCTATTCTTTCTATTCCTTCCTCTTTATATCTTGATGTCTCTCTGCCCTTTTCGCCTTTTTTTCTGCTTTCTTCTTTCTCTCTCTTTCTGTGTTGCTCCGTTTTCCTGCTTTTAGGGTATATTTCATTCTATCTCTTTCGCTGTGTATTCCTGCGCTTTTTTATCTTTCTATCGTTTCCTCTTTCTCTGTGTGCTCCTCTCTTTATCTTGTTCGCAGTTTGTTCTTTCTATATTGTTCTTCATCTTGTTCGCAGTCTTGTTCGCAGTTTTTTCTCTCTTCTTCAAGCCCATTGCTCGCTTTCTCTTCCGATGCCTTTCTTGGTCTCTCTATCTTTTTATGTCCTAATATCCTCATTTCGCTATTTCCTCTCTTTTTTCAGCTTTACAATGAGGCTAATATCGGAAGGCGCTATTACCATCAATAGCTGCCCTTAAAAGCAAAGCCCAGTTTCCAATGGCATCGAAAAGGCTGTCCATGCACTGAGGTACACCGAGTAATGCACCGTGTACGTTAAAGTGGTCGCTCACCAGTAAACTTTTGTTCATTAGTATAAGGTGCACCGCGCGCAGCAGTCAAAACAGCGTACATATCGAAACTCGCGCTCACACTACATGCCTCCATTCAGTCACATGCATAATGTTGGTCATTTTGCATGCAGACAAAAAAAACAACTTTCTTGAAACATTTTCCTGACCCACATCGTATAACAGGCCGAACGCGAGCCTCGTAGTTATGCCTTCGCTCGTGCAGACAGTCAGAAATCACAGATAACTTCACAAAAAAACAGCACGAAGACAGACAACTTCTCAAAAAAGGCCAAAACAATTTTATAAGGAACTTAGGAACTCCTGATTGTAGAAGCATAAAGGTCGTTTCGTGAGTTTCAAAATTTATTCAGGCATGGTGTTTTTTTGCCACCTTAACGATGCGCTTTCGAAGCTGCCTGGCAGCAAAATAAAAGTGTCACTCAGAGGAACGCCACCTTTAGATGGACACATACACGTTTCTACCATTTCCACACCACCGTGCCATTCCGCTTTACGATATGAGCTTCTTAAAGGCATACACAACGCTCACCAATTCAAAACATCAAGCATCGTAGCACGTAAAGTATTAGTGACGCAAGTCATGCTTGATTGGCATTTAGTGTGCAAAACCATCACTTTGGGCATTTACTATGTTAACTTATGCGCTTATAGGCGTCAGTTTTTTTTCTTATCATCTCATCTTGCATATGACAACCTTAACCTGGCGAATAGTTAACATCTTTTTCACTATTGCTACGTAAACAGTTGTGATCTTTTCGTTTCGGTTTCTGTTTATGTACATTCTCTCTTGCTTGGACTACTGCCTGCAATATTGTACAAAATAAATGAAAAATATTATGCAGCCTCATGGCTCACCAAAGGTATCATCGTTCTGTCTGAGCACTTACTGCAGTAAAGCTCAGGACACATCACACGTAGGCATTGAAGCTGTACAAGAATGTTATGCATGATTTGCGCTTCCTGCAAACTCAATCGCAACTCGATCTTCTAGTCCAACATACTGAATGCTTATGCGATTTGTCCTATGCCGCAAGAAACGCTAAATATTAACAAAACTCAGGTCATATCAAGCTATGAGATGCCATTTTGGGAATGTCATAAAGGCTGCTTCATCATTAAGCTCGTCCTTTTCACCGAACAAATCCAGTTAGCATATTTTCCACAACTTCGCACAACGTTTTATGAACATACCTCCACAATGCGCCTATTGGCCAGGTGATTTTAGTCGCCAATTCATGTCCAGTAATAGAGATGAGAGGTTTATGAAGCAGAAGGTCCTTGTTGGCCAAGATAATTTATTAAACAACAAAAGAAGGAACAGAGGACTGCATTAATTTAACTAACATCTAACATATGCTAGTCATTGACTGCTTTTTCTAAAGCAAATGGCAGGGTTTAGATTTATCTAAACTAACTTTTCTGAGTTTACGCACCTTTGAAAAAATTATGTTGTGTTCGACTAGGCCTCTGTACATTCAATGCATCTCATATATGCTTTCTATGAAATGATTATACACATAGCATAAGGAGGGCAAGTGAGTCACGTAAACTTCGAGGTCAACCTTCTCAACACACAAGGCTACCAGTGAAGAGACTCCTCCCACAGTTATGAGAAACATGAGAAACACTCAACTTAAATCTAGTGTTTGAGTAAATGATGTTGCTATCCTCAGGAGTCATTCAGTCGAAGCACCAGTTCAAGCCTGAAGCATCTCTCGCTCGCCCACAATTCATCCCTTCAACTAAGCGGTTGCTCCTTTACATAGGAGGAAATAGCCAACCTTTTTGCAGGAGCGAAACTCTATTATCAAGGATCCTCAGATCACGCACTCTTTAGAGGCCCAACGCGAGACAAAAAAATTGTATTGGTGCAGAGACGTGCGTTTATAGACAATGCAAAAAGAAAATGCGTTTGCTTCGAACTTACACTTACAATTGTGAAATGTCATCAGCACCACTTTGTAAGAGCGTAGAAAAGAAAGAGGAGACATAAGGAAGCAGATACCTGACGACACACTGCGATCTTTTCGGTGCTCTTGCAAAGTAAAAATGACATGTCAGCAGCCCTACGTCTCTACCTTTAATCACTTCTTCATGAAACAGTATGAAGGGAAGTTCTTTAGTAAAAATGTTGACTCTAAGCGCAAGCATCCATTTTTCAGGTACTGTTCCTCTGCAAGTGCTCACACTTTACGAAGCTACTCCTGTACGCAGCTCCGCCTGTACCGTTTACACCCATACGAAATGACTAGCGTCCTCTTTCATGGGAATAAAATGTTCAAACCACGAATTCCTGACTCGCACTGTCGTCTAGCACGGCTAATGCTACACACAAGAGGCGATCAGTGGAGGGACCCACCGGTGGCCGAGGAGGCCGCCGTGCCCGAGCTGCCCTCGGAGTCGTTCGCGTGCGAAGACGAGGCCATGGACGAGGCCTCTGACGCAGTGGACGCGGCCGATGAGAACGGGGGCAGCGACCGATTGGACGGGCACGGCGACGGTGGCTTGGCGCCCAGCACCACAAGCTCCAGCCTCGGGTCGCTGTGCGTGCGACTCAGGGCGGCGCTGCTGGCTCTCCGGCGAGGGTTGTACGTCGGTGGTTCGCGGTACGGCACTGCGCGAGCCACATGGACCAACAGTTTCGCCGTCAGGTGGCGCTCGCATCTTCGCTCCTGCTGCCGTCATTGACACTACTTCTACCACGTAGACTATACCCCGCGACAACTTTCTGTGGCAGCACAGCCAAGGCTACGGAGCCGAAGCACGCTTGTCTTACTGCGCCACAGCATGTAGTCCCTCAACGAAAACGTTTGTATACTGTTCTGGGTAACTAAGATTTTACCATTCGTCACTTACATTTTTCGCGGATTTATTTTTTAATTAGTGAATAAAAACGTTGCGCAGTAGAAAAAATTTTGTTTCACGCTCTCTCAGGTTTTTGGGGGGTTTTTTGGCTTCCGTCGCCTTTTTACCTCACCGCATTCCTCACTGTCAAAGATGGCGTCCGCCGGTTACAGCTCGTCAACGTCGCTTACGGAGGAAACACCGCCGCGTGCCGCGAGTCCACCAGCTGCGCAGCCGTACCAGGCGTTGTCAAATCAAAAGCTGTCCGCACAGGCCAAGAAGGTGGCGTACAACGTTTACGCGCAAGTAAGGAAAAGCGATCCGCAGCTGTCTGTGAGAGCCGCATGTCGGAAAGTCAGCGAGCTCACTGGTGTTAGCGAGCGCAGTGTCTTCTGGATTAAGCTCGACGATACGTGCAAAACGGTACGTGCATGATGAGTTGTGTAACCATTACATGAATAATTGAATGTATCATTCACCCAGCAACCTGGGTCCACGCGTCAGTAAATCACGTCACAATATTATTAAACATTTCTCTCGAGTTTGCAAAACTGCGACTCGCGTTTCCTGCAGCGAAACGCGAGCCGAAACGCGGACTGCGCTGGTGAAATCGAAACCGAAACACCCGTCGAAGCGGTCGGACTACTTGGCGCAGTAGCACATGTGCATAGGCTCCGCCCACCTAGCCTTGGCCGTGCTGCCACAGAAAGTTGTCGCCGAGTATAGGCGAGAGTGACTCAAAAATTATCCGCTTTCCCGTGGTAAGGCTTTTTTGCCGCTAACTTCCTCAGATTTGAGTGATCCGCTTTCAGCACGGACGTCCCATATTTCCGACCCGACATGGCCGCCAGTTTACGGTCAAGGTATGAAATCATCACGTCACTTGCCTACCGATTGCCCTCTTCTGCCGTAGATCATCAGTGTTGAAAGCGGATTCTCAGTGCTGTGATTCCGAAGCTTCTCCTCAGTGGCCCAAAACATTCCGTTTCTTCAACGAAATTCGGCGTCACTTGAGATCTTGTTCACAGACTTTCCTTGGTATCATGTCCAACGTCTTTGGTGCTTAGCAGCAAATACCAATTTGTTTTATTCGAAGGACAAACTTATACAACGATCGTTTTTGTTCTAATAGAGATAGCTATCATTCATGTGATTTACTACTGCAACTACAACTCACGCGACTCATAGTCATACCTTCCCAGTCAGGAAAGGTGAGTCAATGACCCTGGAGTTAAGGTAAGGGACCGGCGCGAGAAACCTAAGATGCAAGACCACAGGTGTGCGGATAATTTTTGACTTCGCCCATATACAAGTGCAGATTTGGGTTAGTACACGGCACAAGTCAGATCCTCATATACTTGATCATTTTTTTCCTCAAGAAGATATTTAACTAGCTGTGTATGACAAGAGTTAAAAGCAGTTCGGTGAACTCAACAATGATGCCACCTTCTGTTTCGGCTTTTGATCTGCACTTTATCTATTTCACCCTAACTTGTTTGTTGTCTCCAATCTTCTCGTTCTGACATACTTGCTGCATTTGAAGTAAAAAAAGTACTAACTGACATTACTTTCTTGTTCATAACATTTTCCTCGACTGCTGTAATGCCAAAACCACACAAAACAAACACTTGCTTAAGTGGTGAACCTGCTCTAACCTACTGCTCTTCTGATGAAACATGGAACGGCTGAAGTATCCGTTATTGTCACATGAGTCCTGCTTACAAATCTATTCTGCCATGATCTTTTTTAGTGTTTTCGGCAAGGCAGTGACATGTTTCACGCGTTACCGGCAATAACTATGATTTTGAACCAGTTTTACTTCGACAATAGATCACATTGTGTAAATAAAAAGATGGACATGAATATGAAGCATTATTGACAGTTGGTAAGCTGTTTTGAAAACGGCTGGTTGATTTACATCGTCTTACGAAGGTAAGCCGTAGCCACATTTAAAGCTATGAATAAAGTTCCACCATACTTCAGCTGCATTATGATTTAAAAGGGATACTTCATCTAGGGTATCTGCTAGTTTTGGTGATGTAAATATTTAGCGATTATTACTGCCGCCACAGAACATATAACATACTGAGGGAAATCTGCAGCGATAACGCCGGTTGGTGTGCATGGATATGCTAACGTAATGGAAGTGATAGAAGATCCTTTAAAACTTTAGCATGTGGTATTACATGAATATTTTAATACATGAGAATGATCAAACTATTTGCAACTCAGAGATGCAAAGGCTCTAAAAATATCTCTGAATAGCATAAACAAAGCTCATCCCAAATAATTTTTGCTTTGTACGCAGTCAGCTGACAGGAATTGAAAATTTTGCTGTATCCTCCTAACACGAATCTGAGTGGTATATGGTCGTATAGGTTTTTTTTTTCTTCAAAAAATGATGCTAACGAATGTTTTATGAAACCAAGTAGACAAAAGCAGGCGAGTGTACCAGCAACAAAAGGAAACAAAGTGACAATGAGATAATCATATTTTGGATGCTACACTGCATGCATTCGTATGGGTACATGCATCATGAGAGCACTAAATGACAAGAACATGCTTATGTCATGCATGATTTCACGCTTGTGCAATCAAGTGCCCATGAACACTCAGTGCAGGGCATTTTGGGTTGCTTCTCTATGCAATTGTACATCAAGAACACATTTCATATAAGCACGATTGGTCAACAATGTCAAATCTTTGTGGTAGAAAAATTATAGTTTCTAGACTAATAGAAAGTAATCAACTTTTTAATAATCTTGAGAACGCTTGTATACCTGAATCCTCTGTTTATTCATCAGGCATAATACTCTTCAAACACCGTTCCTTTAGCACTGAAATAAGCCCGGATTTAAAGGACTAGTAGATTCAGTAAGTGGCTATAAAATTGAACTTGTTTGCCTAAGCGAGAGAAAATAAATATGCTCAGCTGCTTGTACATACTGATGTCCTTAAGTTATTTTATTGATCAAGTCCTGAGTGTCATAATTAACGTTATGCCTCTGAGCCACCATATATGAAGGACGCCTTCAAGTACAGCTGGCCGCATAGGCCGACGAGGCGAAGCATTTGGCACAAATTTGCGTACCGAGAAATGTGGGCTCAGACGCATCAAATTACATGTTTCCCTCGGCATTAGTTCTTGTCACCTGAACAGACCTACCTAACATAAGGTGTTCTGTATATCAAAAGATAAACATTCAGATTTATATCGAGACTTGATTGAAATGTACAGTTGTGGCTGGCTGGTTGATCATCACGGTGAACCAGTGCCTATCAGAAGAAGAAAAAACGCACAAGAAAACTAGAACACAACGATAGCACTGAGCTGTCCTTTCGTCTTTGATTTTGGCTTGTCTCCTGATGTGCGCTTTCAAACACCGCATTACAAAACAATCGTCAGTACATCATTTCAGCACTGTAGCATATTTCATACGAATCAAGGATTTGACTCATAATTTATTTCCCCCTATACAGCTCAGCTTTCTTTCAGTGTTCCCTCTCTTTCTTTATTTCTTTCTTTGTAAAGAATAGTTTAGAAAGAAGTGGTCATGTTTTCGGATTCGCAGCTGCTGCCAATATAAGAGTTTCGGGAGCATTGTTAACGGTTCCTGACACTAGAACTTGATTTATTATTAGCAAAATCCTTGTCGGTTTCTCACACTAGGACATGATTTAACAATTTGATTGATATGTGAGGTTTAACATCCCAAAACAACCATATGATTATGAGAGACGCCGTAGTGGATGGCTCCGGAAATTTTGACCAATTGGGGTTCTTTAACGTGCACCCAAATCTGAGCACACGGGCCTACAACATTTCCGCCTCCGCCGGAAATGCAGCCGCCGAAGCCGGTATTCAATCCCGCGACCTGCGGGTCAGCAGCCGAGTACCTTAGCCAACAGACCACCGCGGCGGGGCTTGATTTAACAATATGAATGCACTTTGGTCATATATGTGTGCACGTGACCATGGTACAAGTAAAGGGCCGGCACGCACCAACGTCTTCGGGCTTGTGATTCTTGATGACATCGGCGAGGCCGAGGTTACCGGCGATGACGGCGACCTGGTAAGGGTTCTGGTTGGCGAAGTTGAGGGCGGCCGGGTCGGCCCCCCGGAACAGCAGCACCCTTGCGCAGCTCTCCCGGTCGTTGACGGCGCACACGTGCAGCGGTGTGTTGCCGCTCGCGTTGCGCGCATTCATGTCCGCCCCGTAGAACAGAAGCTGCTCCAGGTGCTGGACCAGACCGTGCTTGCACGCCTGGTGCACCTCTTGCCAGCCCTGGCACGAAGGAAAAAAAAAAGAATTCCCCCAGTTACACCTGCAGTGTAGAACAGAAGCTGCTCCAGGTGCTGGACCAGACCGTGCTTGCACGCCTGGTGCACCTTTTGCCAGCCCTGGCTCGAAGGAAAAAAAAAGAATCCCCCCCCCCCCCGTTACACCTGCAGTGTGAAATCTGCAGAAGCAGTAAACTTGTGGTTCTCTAGTTTTCTCTTGTGATTTTTATGAGTGTCTGTGATCTGATTGCTTGTAGAGTAACGATGCCCTGAAAAAGGACTTGTGGCAGCCCCTGCTGCATCTGGCCCTGCTACGGTGTCTTTAGCCCTTATTGACACCCGAGCCGCACTACCAAATATCACTTTTTCGTCCGCGACCCGGGCACTTACGCCATATATGGGTGTATCTGAAAAGCGGAGCGTGATATGCGATGCAGATTCTCATCTTTCATCAGGCCAAGCCCTGCAACAGCTCAGCTGCTAAAATAACGTTTGCAGTAGAGTGTCGATTCAGTTATTTTCGCTTGACAGATCGACTTATTTGTTATAACACTGTAAAGCACAAAGCAATGATAAGCCTATCTGTTAGTACAGAAGCACGCAATCTATGGTGCTCCAGTGATCCGTACATTGGTGGTCACTTACAATATGCACATAAACATCGTGTGAGCACCTTCCCGAAGAACGACCCTGTGGCTGAAACGCAGACTGATTCTGAGGCAAGCAAAACTGGGCAAAGCAGACACACTATGCCATGTAGTTGTTGACAGTGGTGTGCGACATAAAAAATGAAGCCATGCCTCAAAGCATGAGCGAAACAATATCAGCTTGCCATTAACGTTGAAGCGTCTGCTCTTTAACACAGAATTGGATGCAGTTTTATATTGTGGAAAAATTTGAAGAACACATGTTTCGTGTTTGTATGCATATCGCAAAAGCACAAGGCACATTCGGCCTAAATATATGACTATAATTTACGGTATATTTAATGAAGTTGTGTCACTCACTTGTTTGTGTAGTGGTGTGGGCTGTAATATATACCGTCCGAACTTGCCTTGGCACACTCCTTGTCACTCAACATTTTAGCTATATTGCAAAATGATTTCCTTTATTTGTTGCTGCTAACGAAAGATGAGACAACCAGACGAGTCATTCATGCATTCTGCCTCTCCACTGAAACCTGTTTAGAGCACATCGTTTAGAAGAACCACATGTTACTAAGTGTTTAAAACAGTCAGTAAAGCTATGCATTGCAAGGTACCCCATCAACATATTGTTGAGATGCGCTGACATAAAGCAATAGCAACTGTATTATGGAACTACCTGCGGATCGGCGACCCCCAGCATAGCGTGGTCGTGCAGCAGCGTCTCGGCGAGCTGCGGGTCGGCGTTCCACAGCACCGTGTAGTAGAGCGGCGTCAATCCCCGGGCGTCCTTGTAGTTGGGCGACGCGCCCAGGTCCAAGAGAGTCTTGAGCGCCTCCAGGTTGTTCTTCTCGACGGCACGATGCAGGGCTGTCCTGCCGTCCTTGGTGCGGTAGTCTAGTAAAGCCCCGCCATTCACGAGCGCGATGATCACCTTGCTGGGACTCTTCAGGCCCGCGGCCAGCGTCAGCGGGGTCTCTGCTTGTCGTGATTTGAATTTAGGGAAGCAAGAAAAAGCTGAGATGAAGTATCAGCTACGAAAGACGCCAAGTGATGTGTGACCTTCTGATGTATATTTAAGTATAAGCACGTTATGCTTTATATAAAAGTAATTGATTGATTGATTGATATGTGGGGTTTAACGTCCCGAAACCACTATATGATTATGAGAGACGCTGTAGTGGCGGGCTCCGGAAATTTAAACCACCTGGGGTTCTTTAACGTGCACCCAAATCTGAGCACACGGGCCTACAACATTTCCGCCTCCATCGGAAATGCAGCCGCCGCAGCCGGGATTCGAACCCGCACCCTGCGGGTCAGCAGCCGAGTACCTTAGCCACTAGACTTATATAAAAGTAAGTTAACTCAAATAGAAATGCTTGTTCATGCATCGCTTGTTATTTCAAGACCTTCTGTTTATTAGTGCCTATACATGAAAATTTCAGAGCAACCTTCCACTACAGTAAAAATGAAAGTAAGTGAAGCTGTCACTACGGTTGATCTGATATGGAAAGTGCTACTATAGGAAACTTATATAGTACAGTTAATATTAATTGTATTGAGCGAATAAATGGAGACACTCAAAGAGTACCATATCTCTTTTGCGCGCGATGTGTATTATCAAGTCAACGGTGGTCAGCAGCGGTCTCAAAGTGAAATCCTGTAGTGCATTAAAAAACCACGCTGTTTTGAAAATTCAGTGTATTCCGGTCGTTTGTTATGGGAGTGGCATTGCTTTAACAGAAAATTGTTAACTTCATTCTGCAATATTGCAGGATGACTTTAACAATTTTTCCGATATATATCGGCAGAATGAGACACACTTCTATTTTCTATTAAACTATGTCGATTTTCTAGACGTAAAAACATTCCAACGTGGCTTTGTAGGCTAGTCGTTTCTTTGCTTCTAAAAGTGACATTGCGCTAAGCATTTCCAAGGCTGCAGGCCCGTTAGCTAAGAGACGCGTAGAGTGTGTGAAGAAACATGTCTCCCTTTCATCCGTGAGTAAACAATGCAGTGTATTGCTTTATGTTTTCTTGCAACGAGGTTTGCATTCGATGGTCGGGGTGGTTACTGTACAATAGGCAAAGAAACATAAGATAAATTTGTACGGATATCAAGGCAGGCAGATGTCTGTGCACTGTATTAATTGTGAATCTGAAGCATTGTTCAAAGAGTGCATCGTTGTATATAGGAATACCGATAACACTAAGAGATTGCGAGGGCCGGTAAATAGCTGTGTCAGTTGTCCGTCGGTGGCGCTGGTTAAATGAATAGGCCTTTCTGGACACGACAGCCTTTCATGTGTGATTATTCAACCTTTGCGTGCGGATATAATTATATTTTTATTCTTGAATATAGAGAATCAGCTGAAAGTCAGCGCTCATCATGTTGCCTCTTCTAGTCAGTGTCTCTTAGCGCAATGACACTTTTTAAAACCAGTTAAACAACAGCCGTTGTTCTACGCACATTTTGTGGGAGTACGTGACCCGCCCGATCATAGCCATGTAGATCTCCGCTGTAACATTTTGCCGCACATTGTCATGCACATTATCACGAGGACGATTACATAAAACGCTTTAGAAGGTTGCCTTTCCACAATAATCAGCACATGAGGCAGGCAATGCTCGATTTTAATGTGAAAGAAAAATACTTTTAAATACAGTTTATGAGGATTTCTATCCCAGGCAAATCAAGGCAGAGTCGTGTTAGCAGAATTCATTCAGGATGTGAAGGCATCTCAATTGTGGGTACAGGTGCAGGAATATGTAACTCGAACCGTGAACAAAAATAATGTAACTTTGCTGCCGTTGCCAACGCTTAACGCTAAGTGTTATGTGAACAAGAATGCATTGTGAATTCTAGGAGAATCGCCCTGACAGATTCTATAATAATAAGGCTGCGGTATGCTTCGTGGTGTGCTGCAATTCCTCTTACGCATCTGTGTTATAATGTAGAAAAGGTTGGAAATTGCAGTACGTTGCGGGATAGTTACAACTCCCTGTGTAAATCAGATGGTAAATTTTGCACTCTGAACAGTGCTCACGCAAGGCGACAGATCCTCGCTATTTGAGCAGTATTCGACAGTGCGAGCTAGAGCACGTAGGTCTTTCCAAAACATCAGTATGCCTGTTCTCATCTGCATTCCAGACAGCTGCCGTCATGTCAGATATGCAGAGAGCTAAGTGAGACCCTTGATTCACCCGTTCGCATTTGTATTCGAGACAACTGCCACCGTATGCAAAGGTCGGGTGGTACGACATAGAGCCACGGCGTGTGATGCCCGCGAAAGCGCTGCATGTAGACCATGTAGGAAGAGACCTAAATTTGATTAGCTGATTTACAATCGTCGGTTGACCCAGACAAACAACGAAGTTCCCCGTTGCAATGGTAGCTTCCTGAACTACTAAGACAGGGCACGTTTTCCTGGTTGTAGTGGTTGCTAAACTTTCTACAGCGTTTAGCTGGCAAGCAAGCACCATCTGGACTTTAGGGAAAGGAAGGTTGGCAAAAATTGATCAACACAGAGTGGTCATCTATACTTTAAGCCGTATATTATCTTCAATTAGGGTTACTTATGCTATAGTTGTTAAAGGAACCGGAAAGTCATTCGCTCAATTGTGTTGTAAAACGTCCATTTGCACGTCTGAGGTGTGAGACCCTCAACTCACAGTGAAGATTTAGAGAGGTCATGGTGTGACATACTGGTTAAAGGACACACTTTGGCTACTTTACACACATTTTCCTGAGCGTACAAAAAACCCCGCCAAGTTCGATTATCACAACTGCAGAAAGCAATGAAATATGATTATCGAGAAATAGCTATCACTCTGATAAGACACACTCTTCGTCTAAAGTTGTCACGTATTCATGATGAGAGTAGTCCCAGCTCATTACCATCATCATCATCACCATCATCATCATCATCATAATCAGCCTGACTATGGCTACTATAGGGCAAAGGTGTCTCCCATGCTCAGCCAACCAATCCTTTCTTTTGCTTTTTGCTGCCCCGTTATGCCTGCTAGCTTATTTTTAATCTCATCAGCCCACTTAACTTTGTCTTCCACTCGTGTGTTTGTCCTGTCTAGGAAGCCAGTCAGTTACCGCTAATTGCCCGCAGTTATCCTGCCTAAGCACTGCGCGCCCGGCCCATGTCCATTTTCTACCTCTTTCAACTATAATATCATTAACCCCAGTTTGTTCCCTAACCCACTCTGCTCTCTTTTTGTTTCTTAAAGGGGCCCTGCAATATTTTTTGAGCATGGTCAGAAAACGCTGCCAATCGGTAGTAGAGGCTCCCGACAACACGCGAGCCAAATATTATAGCGCAACCCGTGAACTGGAATTCACAATAAATTATCAAAATCAATCAAAGTCGGCTAAAGATTTGTTTTCTCTTCTCTCGACAAATCACGGTATATGCGAAAAAAGCATACGTAGCAAACCCATTTATCAGCCATTGGCCGATTTGAACATGGCGTGCTCACTAGTTACAGAGATCACCGCAGCAGGTCGCTACTTGTCCAGGCGTGCACGTTTGATCACACTTAAAAAGTTGCGCATTCGAAGAAAAAAAAAGAGAAAAAAGTGGTCAAAGACACAAGGAGCACGTGACGTTTTTCTGTGGCCTGCCATCCCGGAATGCTTAGCTTCCAGCGCTTTCGTTGGGGCGAAAGAAGAGAGAATGCAATTGCAGTAATAGACAAACCTTTGTAACTCCACTCGCACTGAACAAATTCTTAAAATTTTTGCGGCGTTGAATTCGTGAGGCAATAAGCTCTTCCAGCGAATTCATTTCATCGTGACTTGAAAAAGTGTTGCAGGGCCCCTTTAAGGTTATACCAGTCATTTTCTCTAAGTACCGGCTAGATGATGTCATACAAGTTCCTCTTAAGAGTTAGTGGTAGCTTACCATTCATGATTTGAGAATGCTTGCCCAATGTGATCCACCCCATTTTTATTCTTATAGTTATTTCACTCTCATGATTCAGCTCCGTGATTACTACTTGTCCTAAGTAGACACATCCCTTTAAATATTCCAGCATCTCTCCACTTATCGCAAATCACAGTTTTCTGCCGAGACTGTTGCACATTACTTTAGTTTTACGCATATTACTTTTAGACCTACCCTTCTGCTTTCCATGTCCAGTTCAGTAATCATGCGCTGTATTTCGTCCCCTGGGTAACTCCGATCAAGGCAATGTCACCAGAGAATCGGAGATTACTAAGGTACTCTCCATTAACTCTTATTCCTAACTCTTCCCAATCTAGGGCCCTGAAAACCTCCTGTAAACACGCGGTGAATAATATTGGAGGGATGGTGTCTCCCTGCCTTACATCCTTCTTTATTGGGATTCCGTCGCTTTCTTCGTGAAGAAGTACGTTGATTGTGGGTGTGCTGTAGATTTCTCCTAACATGTTTATGTAGGTTTCATCAATACCCTTATTCCGTAGTGCCTGCATCACTGCTGATGCTTCGACTGAGTCAAACGCCTTCTAGTAACTTATGAAAGGTATGTATAAGGATTGATTGCATCCCACGCATTCCTCTATAATCTTCTGATAGTATGAATAAGGTGTATATTCGGGTAGCCGGTACAAAATCCTGCTTGGTCCTTTGGTTGCTAGACATTTATAAATAGTGCGATAGCAATACTGTGCAGACCGCAACAAAGATATTGACAATAGTAGGCAATACAACATAAAAATACTATAGATAAAAGGACAAAGGCATACACAGCTGCTCATCACAAAGAAAACATAACGCTTTCTGTTTTATCTGTCTCCGTAAACACGATCAGCGTTTCAACTTGGTGCTATACAGTGGAGCGGGCACTAGAAATAACACATGCTAACAACATTCATTTATATATTTTGCTGACCCCATCTCCCATGCCTTGCGTCAGCGGCTTCTCATCTATCCCAGCAAAATACCTCATCTAATTAACATCGCAAAGTGACCTCTACCGTCCCTGTTAATTTTCATTGCCACTTGTATGCCAGCAGCTGTTCATAAAATGTTTTCGTTTCGTCAAATTCACCTGATTTCGGCCCACAACGCTCCATTTCTATTTAGATGGGGTATAGTGATCATGATTATTATGGCTCGTTCTAGAACTTTCTGTTTTTGTGCGCGATTTTTGTTTATCAACTTTTATATGTTGCTCCATATTATTTTGTCATTTATGAAACCAAAAGAATTTACAAGATCTCCAGGACCACAAAAAAGTTAAAAATGTCGCAAAAAAAAAAAAAACACTGACCATAAACCTTCTCCACACAAGCGATTCGGGGGTAGGGAGGCTGTCAGATCAGGCTAACCATACAACTGTTCATTACGAGCAGGATATATGCAGCGTCAATCTGTCCTTGTTACGATAATTTAAAAAAAAAACCTGTGCAACATGTATTCCAGCATAATGCTACTCGTATGTAACCAAATGCAGCCTCTAGATAGAGCCAACGGGCGGGGTGCATTCTTCATAACTGACGCCTCTGCACTGTTGCCCTAAAACCAAAAGCTACGTTTGTTCTTGGTGCACAGATAGATTATGACAAGCCAGGGCTCACCTCCCGTGTCGGGGCAGTGGAAGTTCGGGTCCAGGCCCCGAGTGCAGAGCTTGCTGATCTTGTCGACGTTGGAGTTGGTCACGTGATCCAGCATCCGACGCAAATTGGCCCGCGTGTGCAGCTGCTTGATTTGCTTCTCTTCCACGTTGATCATCTTGTAGACTCGCCGCTTGTAGCGTAACTGCGGACGAGATTGACAACAGCAAACACAGACAGCGTTCGCGGAATTACACGCGCGTTATTAGAGCGAGGTATAGGTGCGGTCATATGGACGACGGGAGAGATATAATTGGCAGCACGGCGGACGATGGGCGATAACGCGAATGGCGTTTACGAACAATGCCGAAAGGTTGGCTAACACACGTATGAGTTAATCACCGATATTACAAGAGAGCCCTGTTACGTTGATGTGTTATCAAAGTTTAAAAAAAGACATGTCTGGTTGGAAATTCAATTAGTAGTGTGACAGTCAAACTAATGAATGACGTCCCACATATGCTCATTGTATTCATTGTCTGCTTCAGTTATACAAGCTCTTTTGTTATATAAATAAGCCATTGTGAACATATGGTGTTTTTTTAACATACGTGACTGGACTGCTCACACACTCATTTTTCCCTTGTGAACAAGGCTTCTGTATGGGGGCCGAAACGTCGTGCTTTTACTTGATTGTAAGGGTGGTAAATGCGCTGTTTTAATTGTCTATCATGTCCGGTTGTGATCAGACGGGTTTGCGTCACTGTTTTATACGGACAGAAAATACCACGCCTGCTGAACATTTTTTTTTTCTCTTCGGTAAATCTCTGCAGCAATAGATCACTAAAGCAACACCCAGTATTGTCCAACGTATATAAGATCCAATGAACCATGCGTTAATATGCAAATCTTATGACTGAAGGTCTTCGTTCAAAAAAAAAAAAAAAACTGCTTGCCTAGAGTGTTCTGGTGTGATCTAGTGAATACACCAGAACACACTTGTGTGTTCTAGTGTTTACATTAGCCCGATGTGCAGGGTCTTATTAAAATGTAAGCCTATCTGGTGTGTCCTGGTGGGATGTGTTCTGGTGCGAAAATTGTCCCACTGTGGTGTTTCCTGGGGCGTACGCCAACCAAGTCTGGTGTGTTGTGGTGGGTCATGTTCTGGTGGGAAGACCACAACGGTGTGGTGTTTTCTGATGGGATTTCTTCTGGTTGAATGTGTTTAGGCAGAATGTGTTCTGTTGAACTCAGTAAATATATTATGTGCTTGGGGCTTGGACTAATATTTTTTTTCAACCGAACGCGCTCGAACTCACACTCCCTAATATTTTCCTCAACAAACGCACTTGGCCTCAAACTCACCAAAATATTACTCAGCCGGTCACTCTCAGACTCGTGGCTCTATTATTCTGAGTGAGTTGACTCATGAGTACGTTAACTCATAATTAGCTTTTCCAACCACGGTGCCAATGCTCTTTAGTTTCTCTGGCTTTTAGTGTTAACACTCGCAATTGACACTGGAACGAGAAAACACATATATCAAAACCTGGCTTAATTTTGAAGTTTTTGTTGCCTTGGAGAGTGTGTTAGGCACGTGACAAACAAATACCAAAGTCACCTTCGCTCATACAGCTTCTTGAAGCACCAGCACACTATGGAAAGCATAATGTCATGCACTACTATTTAAATCTATTATGGCATAGCTGCATTGTTTCCCAAGCTCTGGGAAATGTTCCGCCTCCGTAAGACAAACCCCGTAATAGAGCTTATGCCATAGAGATAGCACAGCTCACTTTATTGACAAACTCTGTGTCTGTATTTAACACGAAGCATGTAGCTTTATTTGCGACATACTGAAGTGAACTTTAAATCATGTCCAGCTCCACAGACCAATGGGTAAAATAATTACATTCTACTAACAGGATACTATTAAAAGGTTATTTGATATAACTGTTCATATACCAATGCACTCCGTCATCCAAAATGAAAAGTTAACGAATTACTTTCATTTCGCTCGACGCAGAAGGATAATTAGGCGATACAGGTAAATAGTGAAAAAGCCAAAGTTTTGCCAGAAAAACGAAGCAATTATTGTGATAGCAGCAAATTGGAATGTTACACGAAGTAAGGCTTACGGTTCACATCTTTAGCGTGTTCCCTGACGTATCAGCAAATAGCTGACGCAAGGAAACACGGCTCCCGCCACGAACAAAGTATCATTCGTGCTAAGTCTTGAACAAAAACTTTGCTTGAACACATTCCATACAAAGGTATGGGCCGTTTCATAGTTTTTGTAGTGTGAGTGAGAATTTATTAGAAGGCAGAGAGGTCGGCCTGAGCTAGTTCGCTCTAGCCTGCTACTCTACACAGGGGATAAGGGAAAGGGGAAAGAAAGAGGGATGAAGGGTGATGATGGGGAGAAGAAGAGGTGGTGCGTATGTACAGTAGCCACTTATTATAGTACCCTACAGTCTATTTTCTAGTCCAGTGCTTTTTTATAAAGTCTAGAAGAGCCTTTGTAGCAGTTTTTGACACTGTTTGGTCGTTCATTGCTGACAATATGTGGCTTTCACTTAATGGTGTTCGTCCAATGCTTGCCAACGTTGCAGTTAGCATTTCTCTTTGTGCCACGCATAATGCACAGTCACAAAAAATGTGAGCTAGTCTTTGTAAATATACAGCACACGTCACCGTGGGCAGCCAGACTCGACTGGTCAGACTTAGCATTACTGCCGGTAACATACAGCACTCCCTCAAGGAACCTAAAACTATCTAATAAAGTATTACCTATGTATTACATCTCACACATAAGGTCAAGAAAAAGAGCCACTATTCAAAATATAATTCATTATTAAAGAACATTAAAGCAGAGCTGCTGATATAAGCCTTAGCTTTATGATTTTTATGGTTCTTAGAAATGTTCTATTCGTACTGGTACGCGCCCGACTACACTTCTCTGTAGAGAAACTACCTGGATAGGTAAGGCAAATGAATCGCGTGGTCTACTGTTTGTTATGTACTCGTGTTCAGTATGAAAGAGAACACTGCCATTACCTTTGAAATGTCACAGAGGCTTTGAAATGTCACAGTTGGCAAGTGTAGTGGTGGTGAGAACACAAAATGATGCAGCGGGAAAGGCATCTATTGCTATTTAATAGGCTACGCTGATGTCGGCCTATTTATTTATTTATTTATTTATTGAAAATACCTTACAGGCCAGAAGGCATTGAGTAAGGGGGGTTACAGTGAAAAATCGCATGTAAATTTCAAAATAAAAACGGTACAATGTCGGTTAGTAATAACAAAAAAAATTTAACAAAGCAATAAGTCAGCAATACGTAAACATGGCGATGAAGTATATAAAGAACACTCCGTAACATAAAAACCCTCGGAAAAGAAGTAAAAGAACGTCAAGATGAAATATTAAGGAAATGCGTCTGAACTTTTTGCCGAAACGTGTTGGGGTTGCTATCAGAGGCGATATCGTCGGGAAGATCATTCCACATGCGGATGGCTTGTGGTAGTGCGGATGTGTTGAACGCGTTCGTGTTTCCAAAAATGCGAGTGAAGCTGAGATGGTTATGTAATCTGCGTGACGTGTAGAGCGGGCGTTGAAGGTGCAACGACGATGTTTTGTTACTGTAGACGTACTTATGAAATAGGCATAACAAGGACACGTGACGACGAACATTTAATGCTTGGAGGGAATGATGGAGTTTAAGCTGAGTCACACTGGAATTGATGTCATAGTTTCTAGAAATGTAACGGGTGGCTCTGTTCTGGATTGTTTCCAGCATGTTAATTTGATACTGAGCGGAAGGGGACCAAACAGATGAGGCATATTCAAGTTGCGGGCGGACGAAAGTTAGGTAAGACATTTTGCGAATGTTAGTGGGACAACGACGAAGGTTTCGGCGTAAATACCCCAATGTTTTGGAGGCTTTTGCACAAACGTTAGTGATGTGATCAAACCAGGAAAGCCCTGGTGTAAGGTGGATGCCAAGATACTTGTAAGAAGTCGCCGTGGAGAGCCTGTCACATTGCATATGGTAAGTGAAGTTAGATATGACCTGTTTACGTCCAAAAGAAACAACTTTACACTTATTAGTATTCAACCTCATAAGCCAAGTGCTGCACCAATTAGAAATAGTGTTCAGATCATCTTGAAGGATGGAGTGATCGTTAGGACAGTTTATAGGTCTGTAGAGCATGCAGTCATCAGCGAAGATTCTGATATGCGATGATATGTTAGTTGGGAGGTCGTTGATGTAGATAAGAAAAAGTAATGGGCCAAGAACGCTCCCCTGTGGGACGCCAGAAGAGACATACGAAGAGGGAGAGGAAGAATTATTAACGATTGTGAACTGCTTGCGAAGTGACAGAAAATTGCGTAATTGCGTACAAGTAATTATTCACTGAAGACCACTTCGGAGTTCCCTCTCATGCTGCTCACGACTGTACCGCTTCGATAAGTCTGAAAAGAAGACAAAGTTACTCGCGTACTAACCTCAAGGTACGCAACAGCGTCTGAGAGAGGGTAGTCAGCGATGGGCCGCTCTTCGTCCAAAAACTTGCCGGCTTTGCCGTTCACCGGAGGGCAATAGAGACCGTAGTTGAATCCTTCCTTCACCTCCTGCAACAATGCGCCCATTTTTTTCCGCCCTTCGAGTGGTGCTAGCGTCAGCAGTATCACATAACCCACAGGGCAAAGCACTCCGATTTTTTCGGCTCGAGGGCGCAAGTTTCGAACACACCATTACCGACGTTTTGACTTGCAAAATTTATTTCGATTCAAGTTTTTCATCGCTGGCTTGACTCAACCCTAATAATAGCGAAACATGATGTTCCGCCTCCTGTGTGGAGCCATGGTTCGTCCGTCCTAATCGATATGCATGCATTTCTAACTGTGGCCCCTTTCCAGATGATTGTGGTATCATCGTAAGTATTATTTATTCTCCCGTTTCTTCTACCAGTTTTTGTCATTTTTCTGCTCTTTTTCTGCCCCCGAAAGTTCAAGAGTGGCATGGTGAACTTACAGTGTTGTAAAAGGCGGAACGTCTGTATTTGCTTACTTTTGTTGAGTCAATAAAGTGACAAAAACATTGGATATGAATTTGCCTGGCTTTAAAAAAAAACTTCCTCGGTATTTGTTTTTGCAGCAATTGATCTTATATGACAGACGGATAGACCGGTGCCCATGACGAGCAGACATAAATACTCTTACGCATTTAAAAAAATATGTTTAGCATTTTCTACGTAAACAACATGTGTGTTTCTAGCTAGAAGAAAAAGGTTAACAGTTTTCAGTACCACGTACCGTTCAAGGGATGAAAGTATATACTTTAGTGCACGAATGTAAATCTTACTTAAATCTTATATCTTGGAACAGATTTCTGTGTCTTTTGAACAAAGCATATTATTGAGGTAGGATGTGTACCCTCTGCCCCGAAAATCAGTAAGCTGTGCGAGACCCGAATTTGTTTAGAAAAAAAAAGAAAGCTCAAGTATTAGGAGGGCGAGGTACACTATGAGATAGCTGTATTTTATAGAACGTGTAGCACTGCAATTTAGTCCGAATGCTTGCGAAAATAGTCGCCGTTTTGTCCACATAGTCAGCCCCGACCAAATAATTCAGATAATCGGAATACGCATTTCTGGAATCGAATACGCTTCGAATAAAGGAAACACTTAATTTTTTTTTCGAAATTTCAAAAAGTGGCAAACATGTAAAAAATTAAGCTGTAGGGCGCTTTCTAAGTGCGTGTATCCTACCTAAATCGCAAAAGTAATTATGTAGTGCACCTTGTTCCTGTTTGTTATCTGAAGAATCACGAACCGTTATCTGAAATTACGTGATGTCACGCAGCGTTATCGCATTATATATAGACCGTGGAGCATTCTCGCATTATCGCAGAATCAAGCAATCTTAACGTGGCTCTATTATGTGGACAGGCGGCCTCTGCGAAGAAGTGGTACAATGTCACTAGGGCTAAGCAGTCAAAATTTATTCATGCTTTGCGATTCGCCCACACATATGACTTTCGAAAACACAATACTCTAAGAAGAAAAGTTGTCCTTGGAATTTTCTTTCATACATTTGAGAGTAAAATATGCAGCACTCGCCTTCTCTCTTTAGAGAGTCACTTTGACTCTCTAGAGGGAGTGCTATACAAGTTTGACTCTCGAATAAAAGAGGAGTCAGAAGACACCTTTCTTTTTTAGAGTACAAAGAAACTTTTTTCCCTTCATATCTTTTTTTTTTAATTCTGTGAAAACGTCAAATAGACAGTGAATCATTCTTTATAATAGCTGCAGGACACATGACTCTGTTGAAAGGGGTCACCGTGACTCTCTAAAGAGAGTGTTATGCACACTTGACTCTCGCGTAAATAAAAGAAGAGTCAAAGGACACCTTTCTTTCTGAGAGTGTGTAGAATCGCTTTTTTTCTTCGTTTCCTGTAGTTTACTAAATTTCATGGAAGCTTCAAATAGACTGCGAAAATAATGACCCACTATCCGCCAAATTACGTTGAAACCGCAGCACTTGATTAAAAAAAAAACACACTAGACTGTTGGAAATCACTGAGCTCATCATTACTGCATATTGAAGAACGCTAGAGCCTTCCAGCATATGTGATCTCAGGCAGCTGAGCGTAGTTTTTGAAGCCTCGTAATGTTACGTGTGACTGCCGAATCATTTCTCTCTATGCCGCATCGATCAAGAGGTTACTGCATTTTTGATATAAGTGCTTTTTTTTTTCACTGTCTGTATATTTTCGCGCCTTCCAGTTTTACGCATAAGGGTAAGTGCGGTTTTAAGCGTTTCAAAAGCGTAAGATAAATAATTAGTTAAATTGTTGACGAACCTTAGGCAGCGAAGAGATGATATGCTGCTTGATGTCCCATATCAGCTCATCCTTCTGCACGTGGAAACATTTCTGGGAGAAAGAAGAGAAGAAAAGGGGGATGAGAAAAACGCTAAAACGGGCACACAGAAGTCGGTAATCAACGTTCGACGGCTCCAGGCCTTAAAACGAAAACAAAAAGTGGCGACAAAAGACGCGAAACAAGTAGAGGTCTTTGTACAGCCCAGTACAGGGCGATGGTAGTGACACCTGGGGGACAATGGGAATAAAATGAGGCTTGTGGGGAGAGCACAACAAACACTGACGCAACTCGGCGTCCGACGCCTTTCAATATTCACTAGGGTGAATAATTGACAGCTACGTTGCACGTAGCGCGGAGGCTCTTCTCCCCGAAAGTCGAGAGCCGACACACGTCAGCAGTTGCATCCAGGCGAGGACGTCAAGTATTCAACTAACTTGCAGTTTGGCTTGCGTCCATGTGCTACCACAGGAGGCAAAAATAAAATAAAACTATTAACTCCGGCTGTGGTGCAGCCTCTGAAACTGCTCGTTGCTTCCCAGGCGAGCATTCTTTAGGGTACACACTGCTTGATTAAGTTTATTTACCCGGTGGGGTCGCGCACACGGGAGCAGACGCTGTGTTCCCGCGCAAACTCGCAGGACATGGGAGGGTAACGCCTACAGCGGAGGACGTAGATGGGATGGTCCCCATCTTGTTGGCATCCGGTAAGGCAGAGTTTCCAGCGCTATGTACTGTAGAAGGTGACAACTTCATAATAAACATGAGCTGCACCTTCAGAATTCTGAGCGCCTGCCTGTCACTTGTGCGAGAATCGTGCTAAGTGGTTTCCGTTGTAACCGTAAGCACTTTTTTACTACAATTGTAAACACTACGCATATATGTAAATACCGTTTGTCATCGTTACTGAAATGTCACTTTTCCCCAAGCAGTGGTGTAGTAACCTTTTTTTGAAATTTCCCAGGAAGTTGAAATTTTCCACCCTAAACAGCGACCCGAACGTGTGTCTGTATAAAAAAGCCAAGTATCTGAATTATGTGAAATGCGTTTGAAATCACCAAAATTTGCATTTGCAATTCGATTTGGCAGCTACGTAAATGTCCTCTGGATGAGACAGTGACAGTGTGGGCGGAGCATCCATTTATTCTTTGGTTATAGCCGACTATAGAGGGAATCGTGATGGGCCGATAGTTTGGCCACCATGGGAATGATGTGTAGTACATGGATTTGCTTCTCTGCTTCAAATGCACTCGTGGCTTTGTTTACCGTTGTTATTTATCTATTGATTCGAATGAAAGAATGTGTCGATGCGAACCTCGTGAGCTAACTAGAATTGGTGCGACTAAAAGATGTGAAGTTAGGCAACTGCGAAAAGTCCAGCTTCTTGAAAAGGTGAATGAGCTGAACTCAATGAACTTAATATTTCGACAAAGCGGCTGAAGAACATACGGCACCTGGAGGCGAACTAACAAATTTAAGACAAATGCCATGCTGGTTGAAGCGCCATGCGTTAATAGCACCAAGTTTGCGTCTATCGCGCATTATGACGAAACTCTATGCATATAGGCACACGTTTCTAGCTGAGGGAGACGAAGAGGAGTAAAAATGCTGCTGGTGTAGGCAATTGCTGGAATCGGTAATTATTTTTATTTATTTATTTATTTATTACATACTGCAGTCCGTAGACCAAGCAGGAGGGGCACAAAAAGGGAGCATAGCGAAAAAAGCGAACAAGTTATACAGCAAGTTAGAATACCCAAAGCTACTGAAAAACAAGTCATACTAAATAGGATGCTTAGTTATACATATCTAGAAAAAAAGCGAACAAACTTCTGGAAACAGTTTCAAGCACAAAAAGTAAAGCTACACAGTTGAAATAATAAGATGAGCTAATCTAGCATTGAAATATCAACAGTGTTGATTACACAAAAGATGCATGTAGTTTTCAAAGTCGGGAATGCCACGTTCAGGAAAAACATTTGAAGGCAGTGCATTCCATTCGCTAGTGGTTAATTAACACATTCAAGCTCTCACAGAGCCAGTTGCGTAGGTTCATGGCACGAAGCTCTTTTTCTCTCTTGCGTTTTTATTGTTCAGCACACGTTTGATGCGTTACCAAAGACATCTGTAAGGTGCGATTTTCGCTTGTGCATATGTAAAATGACTCTGTAAGACGTGCTACTTCGTGCGTGACATACGTGACTAAAAGCGCGCCAAACGCACACAGTATAACACGCAATATAATTTAGTATTCGCACCCTTCTTAAGCGTGACAGGCGCCAATATCTTACGTTTCTTTGTACTCCGGATGGCCAACGAAGTAACGCAGTGATTGCGTAAGAGAACGCATGGAGCTTGGAAACTAAACAGTCAGGGCCGGCACTACGGCTATCTCATTTGCACGCGTCGAATTCTATGATGCACGACATGTGCGCGTTAATGACAGGATGGCTGCTATCCTTAACATCGCAAAGGATATCAAATAAACAAATGTTCCACATTTTCTCTCCATACAAATAGTACCAGAGAATAAATAAACCGGTTGTTCGAATTCATCTCCTCATAGCGACTTTTGAAAAGAGCGCGAGAAACGCCGATGCCGTGCCGCTGTCCCTTTTTCTTTTCAATCAAAGAAACTTTTTCCTCTTTTTTTTCTCTCTCTCTATAAGGATAAATCCAGAAGGTGGGACAATTTTAAAGACATCTTTGCGCTCCTCATTTTTATTCTGGGTTAGCATCCAAAGTTCTCGACGTGCTGGACCTCGTGGCCACCGTGCTCGCGCCTGAACTCGAATAACGCGGCTCGCCATCATCTCGTTATCCCTGGTTTCGTGTCGCCACCTATCGACAAGAGAGCCAAGTTGCATCCGAACGACACGCTCGCGTGCTTCCTCGCTTTCGAAGCTCGCTGCTCTTTCTTTTTTTCTCGCCGGTCAACTTTCCAGTTCAGCAAACGCCTACGAGGTGACGCTGTCGCTCCTACACCTCGTGGCGTGTCCAGAGCCATTAACCGCGGCTGCGGCTTACAAATGGGCACTTATCGACACCTCCACAAATCAGCCGTCGGTATAGTGAGAAGCGAGTTGGTAACGCGCAGCTGCGAGGATTTAAACTCAAATTTTCTCTCCTCGGCGTAAAATAGTTGCGCCCTCGCCAGGCCTTTTTGAATTCCCGCGCAAATTGGAATGCAATGAAGCTTTTCGCGCCAAAACTTCTGTCGTGTCTTCCGTTTTCTAGATGTCTTTTTGGAGAGTGCCATGTGCGTGCGCGAAGATGGGCAGGGCAGAGGAAAGGTGACCAAATTCGTAACCCCTCTCCCTCCGCCAGCCCCCTTCTTTTTTTTTTTCTTCTGGGGAGGGACCAAAGGTGCCCGATACCTTCTTTACTAAATCTTACCTGTCTAGTTATCGTTTAGCGTGCAGGGTTGAGGTACAGTGAGGTCACTGTAGTTAAAGCCGTGCAGGTTTGGGACGATAATGGCCATTGAGGGCCCCTAATGGTTCATCGAAAAAAACGGTTGGATTCCTATCTTTGCACCCAAAAAGCTATGCGACAAAGGCTTCATTGCTTGCTTCATTGGAAGCAGCAAGTCACGGCTTGATTGTCATATGAACCTATTCTATTTGTAAACAGTGGTAGGCGCCATCGACATACAGAGAGTGGTGGCGAGTCAACCCCCTTTGTGATCACGGGACAATTAGGCACAGCAGCTTCAAAGCTGCCTCCGAGCACAGCGTGTGGCGGAGTCTCCCGCGATCGGTGGTAAGCTTTGAGTGGGGCGGAGCCCATATGCATTGACGTCGCTGCAAGCGCCTCAGTATGTCGACGGCACCTACCGCTGTTGTCAAACATGGAATCCTCAATTCTTTCTCGCTCGACCACCAACCGAGGCGATAGGGGGCGTTGCAGTAAAATCTGCCCTGCCCCCCCCCCCCCCCCCCCTCAATGGAGATTGCTCTGCACACCCATGGAGAAAGCTGTTACCACGTGCCAACTAATGTCAATACACAGCATGGGTGTGGTCACTTACTTCGAAATGATGCTGGTGAAAAAGAAGGAGAGACAGAAGGGATGGAGGAGGCTTCGATGCGAGAGAGACAACGGCTATCTTTGGACTTGCGATCGGCGTGCCGGGATTGAATCACGCCAGGTTTAGGAAAGAGAAGAGAAAAAGAGAGAACCCCTCATCGCTGGGCCATTGCAGCCTAATGGTGTTGGGGCACGACCAGGCGCGACGCGGAACATGCGCGGGACGCCTTGCCAGGTGCGATAATGGTCAGCTAGACCGCGTTCCTCTTCCGTGTTGAAGAACGTTTGAGCACCTTTCCCCCCGAACGCAGTGGTTAAGTGTAGGAGATATATTTAATGACACTCGCCACCCTGTTTTCCATATTGCCGTTATGTCTGGTGCCTGCAGGCCGGAAAGTGCAAGACGTTGAATTTGATCGCTCCCCCCCCCCCCTCTTCCCCCGACGGTTCACGCTCTTAACGGACATCAACGTAACGCGGCATGACGATAGTTATAGCGCGAGGACAGAAAGACGACAAAGGGACAAGGAGACGAGCCACAGCGCTCGCCTCTTTCTTGTCCCTTTGTCGTCGTTCTGTTCTCACACTATAACAATCGTCATATCATTTCAACTAGCCCAAACCACAACACTTCTACATAACGCGACAGCCATGTTTTATTCATTACAGTGCTGTAAATGGTATATATATAATGGTGAGAGATAGAGTAACGCCCGCATTATAAAGAGCTCACAGAATGTGAGCAGACAGCAGCAAGTGTGCTAGTGAGGCAACAGCTTTAGCTCTTAATTAGGGGAAGGGGATGGAGCTGCAAGCTCAAATCACCGACGAAATAGAGAGGGAACATGATGGCAAGCATCACGTAAAGGAGCCCAACACCTGTCTGCTCCTTTGTGAAGGGGAACATTGTGAGAGAAAAAAAAAAGAGGAAAGACCGAGGAAACGAAACTAACTTTTGATTTAGACCTTAAGCTTGTTTGCAACAGAGGGGTCTAGAATGGTTTAACATGAGTTCTTACTAAAC